TTTTTTTTTTTTTTAAGAGTGCTAAAAATCAACATTTATAGGATGTTGAACTTGATAAAATTTTTGTATGTATGATTGAACATCAACAATTAGATGGAGTTTTGAAGAGTGACTATGGTCATGCTTAAAATTATACCTCTTTATTTGATAGCCCTGTTGATATCAATACACGATTGTAATCTTGCATAGTTCAGAGAGTTATTGTGACACTGTTGTTAGCATTTCCTTATTAGGGTGCAGATTTGCTTTTGATTTTTAATTCATTTGATTGAATTTGCATGCTTACTCCACAGTTTCTACTCTAAAATCTTGCATTTTCTCTTCCTGTTATGCCTTGTGCAGCACTTAGAAGTGAGAGAAAAGCAGTACGACCAGAAAGCTTATCTTGACTTGTTCACTGTGAGTTCTAAATGTTAATATCACTGTAAGAACTAAGTTCAAGTTTATTGTAGCTCTATCAGTCACGTAATTTCTACTGAAATTTGTTTCAGGATCCTGCTGCTACAACTCCAGCCATTACTGGGGTAATGGTGTAAGTGGCACAACAATGAATGACATTGTCATCTCTTTCAAACAGTATCAATTTCTAGATTTACACTTTCACTGAACCTTTCAGGTACATTGCTTCTGCAGACAAGAAGCATAACAATAATTATTTGGGGCCTGCATCTCTTGAAGAGATTGCCAAGTATGTCTCTTTAGCCTATGGATTATGGTTTCTGGTTCTACCAAGTATTTTTTGAGTATGCTGATGTACTAACTTCAGTATCATAGTTCTCTGAATTTAATCAGCAAATTGTGTTTTCATATAATGACTTCAGATTAAAACCGGGGCACTATTATTGGCACATGGTTTGATTTTTCTCAAGTTTTCAAAAAATTTATGTTTTCTCTAGTTACTTTAATGGTGATTTCACCATTTTTTCTTTCTTTCTAAAACGAGTCATTCAGTTGTCATGCAATCGCCATTGATTGTATTTTGGCAACCATCAGTTTCATTGATCTGCATCTTACTCTCAATTATTAAATTTCTATGTACTATTGTAAAGTTAATATCCCATGTCTCTGGCCTGAGTGTGTTCTCCATTCATCTGCTCCCTCTGTGCAGGCAAATTATTCATGCTGAAGGCCCCTCAGGACCAAACAGAGAATACCTTTTCCAACTAGAAAAGGCTCTTCACCAACTAGGTGAGATTCATTCAAGTGCCTTTATCTTTAATCTCAATATTCTCAACCCAATTATTCCAGCCGTTTGTTTCTCTTCCCTGCTGAAAGGAACTTCTTTCATCTCCCTCCTTTTTAGGTTGTAAAGATGAACATGTAATGGGTCTTGCAAAGGAAGTAAGGCGCATTCTTTCAGAAAAGGAGTTAACTACCTCATGATTCAAAGAGTAAGGGTGAAAGAAAAGAAATAAAAGAGAGACTGAGAGTTCAAGAGATAAACCATGTCTGCCTTGTTTGTTATTGGGGCATGGATATTGAGATTGGATATGTGGGATACACCTCATCCCTAATTCTAAAACAGTATAATTTTTTAACACAGTGGGAAAAACATTTAGTGCTTCTACAAAACTAACTGTTCTTGATTACCTAATCAAAGGCCCTTTCCTCCTTTATACAGGTGCCTTTTAACATGACCATGATGTATAAGGAGTGTCATGTTGATGCTTAATGTCATAAGCTAAATTTGTTAGTAAAATGAGGAGTCATCGTCAACAATGACATCACATTCACCAGCAAAAATGCAAAATAGCATACCTTCAATGAAAACAAATCCACATATGCTTGTAACAGTTCTGTAGAAGAGCTGCATGTTGGCAGCATGAAACACGATGATTTATGCTCTTTATCATGAAAATACCATGGACCAACAAGAGTGTAGTTAAATTGGTATCCATTAAAGCTTTGTTTAACTTGTTTTGATATTTTAGGTTTTAGTTTTTATATTTTTTTTTTTTTTTTAAAAATATATAGAAAATCAACGAAAATAAATATTAAATATATTTTATATTTTTTTAAAATATTAAAAGACCATAAAAAACTAAGTTTAACTAAAAAATTTTGATTTAGAATTAAAGTTAAAAATTTTAATCTTTATTACACCAAGTAACTAATTATCATATATATTAAAAAAAAATCTTGAAAATATGATGGACGACATGCATCACAACAACTCATGTCTTGTATCTTTTTGCGTTAGCCCCGTGCAAAGGGAGCACCAAGAATTTTGGAGCACTCTTGGAGCACTCTCTCCTCATCTTATTTGCAGGTTTGTGCGTAGGCTCATCATCGCTGGAAGCCTATACACAGATACAAGGCTGAAATGCAGAATATCATCGAAGATCAAGATTCGGCAATATGTGGGGAAAACTTGTGTAGTGGCTGACCTCATGCACCCCATGCAACAGTAACTGCTCAGAACAATAAAAAAGAATAAGTGGTTATTATTTCAAGGAATGTTTAGTTTGAAGGTTTAAAAATAATTATCAATTGTCTAACCAAAGGAATTATATATATATATATATATATATATTTTGATAATTAGTTGTATAACGGAATGCAACTCTCTTTCATTTTTTATCTTACCTCACTCATATGTCATGCGATTCGAACTCAATGTCTTTTACTTCCAGTGGAAGAAAATAACCACTGAACTATTTAAATCGTTGGTAACAAATTAAATATTTTGAATTATAAATAATAACGATTATCTATTATTATATTTTCTTCCACTACCAATTATCAGTTAAATATAAATAGTTAATTCAAACAATTCATTGATATATATATATATATATTTTTTGAACTAAGGGAAATTGTGGAGGATGGGGGAAGTAGTGCCTGTGTGTAGAATCCAAGACTTACATGTCATAACACGTTCCACGTAAGTTATGACCACTAAACCACATAGTGCTAGACGAACAATTCATTGATACGAAGCTCTTTTAGTTAAAGAAAGATATAGTAAATGTTACTTTAAATTGGACAATAACCAAAACTTAAAAAATATTAACAACAATTATTATTAAAAAGAAAAAAAAAAACTCTTTTTTCATCTTATCGTTTGGTTTTTTAATTATCCAACGGTGAAAAAGCTTTTACTCCTTTCCATCATTTTCTTTTCATTTCTCTTCCTTTCCCTCGATGCAACCACAGGAATTGGTAGTCTAAGTTCCCAACCGATTAAAAAAATGATAAATCCTAATGTGCAAGTCACATGCAGCCTCCATTCCATATCATATAGTATAAGACAATATCATTATCAGGGGGAAACATACCGAGCTCCTTTATCCTCACAAATTAAATGATAACCAAACCACGCACAACTTCTTTAATGAGTTAAACAATTTAGGGAGAATTAGGTTTCGGTTTGCATCCATAGAAAATGACAATTCTGCAACACAATGGCATCTAATTGGGTGTCATTTTCTATACAAAATGTGTAAGCATGAAACAAAGAACCAAAGGCATTTGCCATTTTCGCAATTGTACGATAGGATTCCACTAAGATTCCACCAATCTTTTTCCTTGTTGGAATCCAATCACCAAAACACCAACTCAGCTTCATCATCTTCCATGTGTGTGTTATTGGTTGAAACACGTCTTAGGTCTCTTCTTTTTGTGATAAAGTATCTTAAGTCACCTCTCAAAAACAAAATGGTTTGTTCAAATGCTGCTTATTTCAACCCAACTTTCTT